TCGCTTGGTTCTAACCTGGAATAGACAAGATATCTAACACATTCTTGGGAACCAAATATAAGTCGAGGGAAGTAACAAAAGATCGAAAGGTGGAGAGGTGATCATAAAAGACAGTTAGAAATAAGATGATGAGTACAAGTTTGTCACTTTTCGAAGTGCAATAGGAAGGTCTTTTGCAGAAGGGGGTAAATTTGCACTTACTGATTCTGGTTCTTCTGACGGAGGACGTGATGTTAAGGCCGACGTTGGCTTAGGAGCAGGAGCAGAACGACGATGATAAACTTGAATTGGGTCGTTAAACCGAGAGAAATCTTTGACAGTAGTGCAAATAATATTGTCAATGGATGAACCACCACCGTTAACCAATGACTCTTGTGGGATTAAATAGTCATACTCATCCGATGATAATGGAGTTAGAGAACTAGAATAACCAAGTTTGTCTTCAAAGAATGTTATATAAACAAATAACACAAGACGATTGAGTGATGCACAGAAATACTTGTAACATTTATGTTTTTGGGAGTAGCTAAGAAAAATACCTTTAATAGACCAAGAAAATTTGTGTTTATTTGGACTGTGATTAAAAACAAAAGATAGAGCCAAAAATCTTTGGAGGAAGCGAAAAGAAATTATCGTTGGGTATAGAACTTTTAAAAAAATTGTCTTGCAGAATAAAAAAGGGCATTCGATTAATCAAGTAACATGCTGTTAGGATAGCTCCCCCCAAAACTCTTTGGGAACGTGACGATGAAATAGCAAGGTTCGAGCAATATCAAGGAGATGTTTATTCTTTCGTTCAACAACTCTATTTTGTTGAGGAGTGTAAACACAAGAATACTGATGGAGAATTCTATGCTGTTCAAGAAAACTAGTAAAGTTATCATCCAAATATTCCTTTGCATTATCAGATCGGAAATGTTTTATCTAAGTCTTGAATTGATTGACTATTTCAGAATAAAAGAATTTAAATATAGAAAAGACTTCAACCTAGACTTGAGAAGATAAATCCAAGTAACATGAGAGTGATCATCCACAAAAATAACAAAGTATCAGAATCCTAAATTAAAAGTTATTGGACATGACCCCCAGACATCAGAAAGAACAAAATAAAATAGCTTAGCAGCCCTCTTATTAACACGATTAGGATAAGACACGATGGTGTTTGCCAAGTTGACATGACTCACACTCTAATGAGGAAAGAGATTTGAACTGGGGATTAAGAAGTTTGAGAACAAAGAGAGGGATGTCCTAGCTGACAGTAGTATTGTAAAGCTGATGAGTTTTCAATACAAGCTAAATGTTTGGCGCCCAAGTCCAGTTTATAATGATCGTTCTGCTCATGTCCTAACTCAATCGTTTTCCTCGTGATCAAATCCTGAAAGACACAATGTGTGGAGAAGAATGTCACAGTACAGTTTAGTAATTTAGTAATCTTACTAACAGATAAAATGTTATAGAAAAAATTAGGAAGATAGAATACGGAGGAAAGGGGGAGACTAGGTGTAGGATTAGTGTTGTCGGCACCCTGAATAGGTGTACGTGAACCATCAGCTAATATAACTGAATTACATGTAGGAGAGAAAGAGGACTGGATACCTTAATTCTCAATCATATGATCAGTGACACATGTATCTATAATCCAAGTATGAGACGAAGACGATGTAAGTAAAGATAAAAGAGGTACCTACACTTTTGAGAGTAGTGGATAAAGAGAAGGATAATGGTTGTGAACTTTGGTACTCCTGGAATAATTAAAATTGCTGAAATTAACGCTGTAGCTCCGCATCCTGAAATACTGAATGTAGTTGACTTTCACTATCAGATGAGGTGAAGTTGTCCTGAGCGGTCATGTCAAGGTTATCGATAGCGGATAGCGTCACGTAACGGTGAGGCATCGCTAAGGCTATTTCGGGTTATTACGACAAAATAGCAGTAAAAAGCGTAAAGTAAAATAGCGGTTAACGCTGTAGCTCCGCATCCTGAAATACTGAATGTAGTTGACTTTCACTATCAGATGAGGTGAAGTTGTCCTGAGCGGCCATGTCAAGGTTATCGATAGCGGATAGCGTCGCGTAACGGTGAGGCATCACTAAGACTATTTCGAGCTATTGCGACAAAATAGCGGTAAAAACACAAATTAAAATAGCGGTCTAATTTAAATATATATAAATACTAAAAAAATTAAAGATAAATCTAAGAAATCTAAAAGTACATATTGGATGATTTAAAGAGATCCTAAACATGATATAAACATGTAACCATCACGTAATACCGAAGCTGACTGTAGGAATCAAAAAATCGTCTTTAATAAGAAGAGCTTAGCAGTGACAGGACTGCCCTAAGAGTAGCTCACAGTGAAGAAGGTGAGAGAAAGTATCAAGGTAGGTGTCAGAGGCTGTGAGAGGTGACGGAAGTATGCTAAAAATCACAGGAGACGGTGGAATACAATGATCAAAGGTTGAGTTTAATTTAAAAAAAATAAACCTCAAATCGCTTTTAAGTAGCAATCAAAAAGCAAATTTCGAATGTAATCACTCACTATTTTCCGTTATAACACACTATTAGCCGTTTTTACGAACAGACATATTCCGCTATATGTCATCGTTATTACGGGATAACGTAATGGGCGATAGCGTCGCGGGAAGGGACCGCTAATGCTATTAGTGTCCGTCGCGGGAAGGGCCCGCTAATGCTATTAGTGCCGCTATTACGGTGCTATTTACCGCTATTTATAATAGTGGGTCATGTATGTACCATTGGCCTTCTTTTTTTTTAATTCAGGATAATTATATTTGAGATGTTCTGATTGGTGACAGTAGTTACAAGTCTTCACTGGGTCATCGCTATTAGTATGTCTGTCTTAAGATGGACCACCACGACCACCTGGTTGACCACCTCGGCTCCCAAAACGACCCGTGTGATAACTCTCTCCCTTCAAAGTTGCCTCTACCTCTTTCAGGACCACTAGTATGACCCCCTCATCCATAAGACTGCCAACTCTGAGTGGTAAGTGCAGAGCGATCCGCGATGGATGTAAGTGACTGTGTAGGGACATCGTTTTTTAAAAAGTGATAAGTCTCAGCCAGAGAACCAATGGCGAAACTCCCCATGATTTGTCGTCGAGCATAGTAAATAGAATCTAGAATACCGAAGTAGGTGAGTACCATAAGTTCATTCCATTAGTTTTGCATATGTTTTACATCCCCAGTAATAGGAAAAATCTGACGAAGTTCCTCAACCAGACGATTCAATTCACCATAATGATCATCCATGGGTTTACCATCCTATTTCTTACGAAACAGCTCTTGAATAACTTCATATGCTCGATTAATATTACTGCTACCCCCATAAAGATTTTGTAAGAAATACCAAAGTTCCTTCACTGTCATATAATGAAGGACTAAATCCTGAATTTTAGGCTCCATGGTATTAAGAATATGATGTAAAAGGACACTATCATCTAATCTCCAAGACTTCGGTGTCGGAGTAGGAGGGTCCGTCAACAAATGACCAGTTTTGTCTCGTCCTACTACATAGATTTCAGTAACATGCTTCCACTAGTCATAGGTAATTCCATTAAGTTTTCGGTTAGTGATTCTATCAGAAAATATCTCTGAAACTTTCATCTGGACCGTTAACTCAGAATTTTTGAGTTCCTTAGATCCGGCCATCATAAAACAGACGAGTAGAGATCAAGACGTAAAACATTCTTGGTGGTAAAAAAAGGGAGTGAAAGATCCCACTACCCTCCACAAGTTGAACAAGTCCATGAGCCCGAAGGTTAACAATGTAAGAACCCGAAGATTATCATATAAGAACCCGAAGGTTAAAATGCAAGAGTCTGAAGGTTAACATGAAATCCGAAGGTTAAAATTCAAGAACCCAAATCTTTTTAGAGAACAATTCGCATATCTAAGTCAGGTCTGAAAATAAAGGGACATGGTAGTGGCGATCATCGACGATGGGCGGGAGTTGTCGAGGAAAATCTGATCGGTGATGTGGATCTGGATCTGGAGTTTCTTCCGTGGACCACCGATTCAACGATCTAAATCGGACGTGAAGGGGGTTTGATGTTGATGTTTCGATTGTGGAAACAAGAACTGAAGTGAATATCTTAGCAATGTAAGATAAATACTCTTCTCAAGATCAAATCCAAGATTGAACTCGAGGAAACACCAAGCAAGGTAAGATATCAAAGTTGTCAAGGAAGCAAGTGACAATGAACAAAGCAAGTGGCGGCGGTAGAGGACAAAACAGGCAACGACGGTTTTGATCTTTGGCGGCTAGGGTTTCGAGAGAGAGGAGAGAAGACGGAGAGAGGAGAGGAGGCGACTAGGGTTTCAAGAGAGAGAAGAGGTGGCGGCTAGGGTTTCGAGAGAGAGGAGAGGCGACGGCTAGGGTTTAGGAATTAGGCTTTTGGTTAGAACAAGTGGCGGCGAAAATTAGGGTTAGGGTTTAGGATTTAGGAGGCTCTGATACCGTGTTAAAGTTTGGAGAGAAAAAAGATTATTAGAGAATTATCCCCTCACTCTATACTTTATTTATAGAGATAGATTAGTTACAAGTTAGTCTCACAAGCAATGTGGGACTAAACTAATGCTCTCTTCTTCTAACAAAATTGAAGGGGAGTATTAGATTAGCTGGGTAATTATTTATGATATTTCTTGTTTATCAAGTTTCTTTCCCTTGTACCCCAAGTTTCCTTGTAGGTCAAGTTTCCTTCACTCTAATTAAAGATGTGAGGCATCTATAAAAAAATCTATCTTGGTTTCCTTTCTTCGACACAAACAATATTACAAAGAAAAATAGAATTTCAGCAAAGACAATGTGGCATTGCCACTATGTTAAAGTTTTCATTTTGGTGATCTAGCACTTCCACATGATTAATACTTCAAACTTGATTTGTTGAAATTTAAATGTGTCACACTAAACATGAGAAGAGAAAGCAAGTGCATGATTTTATCCATTTTATTCCAATTATTCCTACCTCACAGCATTACCTCAAGCACGAAATACTCTGGAACATCATAAAAGTCATTAGGCCTGAGTATCACAATTACATGGAGTTAGAACTATTATGTGACGTATACGATAAAATTTGAATACAAACAAGATGAGCTTACTTAGGCAATCCAATATCTGCATCAAACCTTCGACTTTTATAAAATTTAATCAAATGAAGCAAACCCGCCCAATCAGTGTCCTGAAAACGAAAGAACATTTTAAAGTTAAAGATCAGAAGAGACGTAGCAGAAAGACGTGCAAGGAATAATTACTAGAATGAATCATTCATACAAGCACATCAGAGCTTTCACATCGAAACGGTTGTTATTAGAATGATTAGTATCTAACTATTATGTTAAATATAACGCAACACATAATGTAACGCTCGCCTCCCAATAACACAAAATGCAAACAACGTAACACATAAAATAGATTCTAATATTTCAATTGGTGTATTATGGGAGGATCAGGAAACATTATGCAAGACGATGCATAGTATCAGTAACAGAATCATCTATCACAATGGTAGAATTACAGCGTTATTAGGATGTTGCTGCACTCTATTATGGAACTTATTCTTCAACAAAATAATCTAATAATAATTGAAGATGAAGAAAATAATATATTTATTGTAGAAACAAAGGAAAAAAAGAAGATTTATGCGGATGATAATATGTTAAAAAGTGGTAAGCTTATAAATTTTGTAAGCAGAGTTCTCTCCATATGACAGCAACATATCAAACAACTTCAGAATAAGGAATCCTTTTAAATTCCTTATAATTGCATAAAACTAGCGTTTACAAGAAGCAGATTTAATCATTTACAGTACTCCTAATTCAACAGGATGAGGAATCTAATCTTCCCATAAATCTGAAATGCAACAAGATTAGTAGCATACTACCTCCGAAGCTGTATGTGCTAATGCGTATGCTGCTTCAATTCTGACTCTCCAGAATGCCTGGAATAATTAGCAATAAATAAATAAAAAAAAGAGAAGAAAATATAACTTTCAACCTTTTAAGAGTGGAGAACAAACCTTTGAATCGCTAAGAAAGTTGTTAAGAGCATTGACTACAGCAAATGAAAGCTGAGGTAGCTTCTCTAGCATTGCGATTGCTTGAGCCTGAGCAACTACATCCTTGTCTTTCTCAAGTTGATTAATCTGAAAAAGAAAATGGTACTTATTGGATAACATAGTTAAAATTAAGGTTGAATAAAATTCGTGTAATATTTGAAAATAGAAGTCTTACTAAACTCGAATAATCATGGAATATATTATTCATATTTACTAGGATAAATTTTCAAGAGAAAAAAGCATAATCCATCCTCAAAGCGTGCTAAAAGTAAACAATTTGATTGAGTTATTTCTTTCCCATTCATCAACTCATCATTCAATAAAGAGCAGTGTTTTAAATATCGGCCGATATACTGATATTATCGGTGATTTATTAGTTTCGGAGGCCTTCCGCTATGATAAGTTTAATTTTTAATCGGTAATCGTTTTTGGATGTTTATCGGCAATAATGTGGCGATAAAGTGAGTTATCGGCCGATAATGTTGGTTCAAAATATCAGAATTATCAGCCTTTGGTTTGGGTTTGGATTTGCTCTTTGGATGTTTAATAATTATAAACTATTTGTTGCTTTTGGAACTTGGTTATTTGGAGATTAGCTTATGTTTGTTTATGAATATTGACATGACTCATAACTATTAAATCACAACTTAGTAAGCTAATTTATAATCTCATGATTACACAATAATTATGTTGATGATTCTTTATTCTTTATTCTTTATGTTATCTTGTTATTTGCTTGTATGTTATTCCATTTTTAGTAAGAATTTTTTCATCGTGCAATCAAGAAGGTTCTACCATTGCTTAGTGATCCTAAACACGATTATTTATATTTTGGTATGTTTATATTTTATTAAGTATGGTTAGATTACAATTTAGGATATTATATTATGTATATACACCATCTAGTAATATCACTCTGATAAATATAAATATTATATTATATTATATTATGTATATAAATTTTATGATACAATTTTGGGTGTGAAACCCTATTTTTGAAGAGGCGTGACCTTAATTGGTGTTAGGCCGAGTATTCTGGCGTGAGGCTACTGATCCAGACGTAAGGTGAGATCTTAATTTTCTACTTTCTTTTGATATTGCCTGTTGATCAAGTGATCATTACATGAGTATGCTTTCACAGCCACAAGAAGAAATTTTGCACCTGTGCAAGCTTCTGTTTGTGTATCTAAATTACACAAAATTACTAGGAGATTTCTTCTTCCCACTAATCTACTATAATCTTTGAAAATCATAGGTAACTACAATAAATTTTCTAATTTTGTGAGAACTTCCTAATGAGATTAATGGCTGTCATTAAGTAGTTCTTTGCCCTTCTTCCTAAAGTCGTGTATAATATTAACATATACTACATACAAAACGCATGAAATGCTAAGGACAATTCAATTTAGAAATTATCACGTGGAGGGCTCATAACATTTTCACCAACAAAAAGATAATAGAAGATAGTTTACCAGAAGTGTGAGTGGTTGTCTGGAGTAATTTAGACCATGCGGGTGCATTGTAAAAGTAAATTTGATTTTAGATCATATTAGTTGGAAATACTTAGTGTGCAACTCAATGGAAGATTCATAACCATAATCACGATTTAGATCATCCAAAATGCATAGATAGATGATCTTGTGTTTTTAAATATTCTCACAAGCACATCAAGTGGGTAAATGGAAAATTAGTTAGAATTATGGTTTAGCACATTCTAAAACCCCTAAAATTTGGTGTGCAAGGGTTTCAAATTATAGGGTGCATCAATATATTAGACTACTAAGTTGGAAGCATCAGACCTTTTTTTTCCTGCTTCTGAACATGGACACTCTAACCCATTCATATTAGACGGATTAACCAGGAATTAGTCCCAGACTTCTATATATGTGGGTTTTTAACTTTTTTTTTAATCAATCAATGTTTTACATCATGTTAAACGGTGTAGATCTTCTAAACACCAGCATAATACGCTTTTCCAACTAATAGGATCTAAGCTAAGCTCAAATCTAAGCGATAGGATCCCAGTCAAACTCCACATACACATATATGGCATGTGCATTTAAAAATATTTAGATGTTTTTACAGAAGTGAAGAAGTCTGGCTACAGAAGACAAACTGTACACACATCGCAGACACATACATGTATATATACTGACACAAATATGTATCAGTATCATCGAATTTTTTCTATCCTTGTTAAGAAGCTAGTACCATAATTCATGGAGATGAGGTGTACAAGTCGGTTCAACAAATAATACAATTACATGATTCACCCATTTAAATTTAAAAATGTAAGAGGCTAATGACTTAGGTAACTACTGATTTCTGCAATGTAGAACTTCATTTAATTATATAAGACTATAGTGCTTCACCACTGCGTTGTTTGACCATTCTAATGTTTTTCATTAAAACGCACAAGTTGCGTTCGTGACATATATGTGCCCTTAACTTCTAGGATTTGAAATTTGCATAGTGTGATCTGTCATAACCATATATCTTATATCTGTATTTCTTCTTCTTTATTTACTTATTTATTTATTCATTTTTTTTATTTTTGGTATGAACAAAGATTGTGGCCTCTTCTTGTACCTGCAATCTCTCATAATCCAATCCCCCTATTTACCAGTGAACCATATCTCACACGGTAATCTCGTATTTTCATAAATGTAGCATTAAGCTGTGGCATATATTACAAGTTACTTTGAAATATTTAGTCATTGGCTAATAAAAAAAATAAAAGAAAAGTAGATCAAAGTATCAAATAACAAAAACATAAGTATATAGATATGGTTTTGCTAGCTCATAATACATGGGGTTTAGAGCAGGTAGATACTTCTAGAGTTTATTTGAGGATTCAGTAACAACAGGTGTCTGACCTAAACATCTACACCTATTGTCATCCATAATGCAGGACATGGGGTGAGAGTCCTGAATGTACTCGAACAGAGATAAAGTACAAAGAAGGGAAACAAATATGAAGCATGACTAGCTCAGATGCATACTGCAAAAAGCAGGAGACTCAAAGAGAAAAGAGTTTAAGATTCAATCTGGCCTGATTAGAGTGGCAGTTATGTGATAAGAGCAAATTAGACAAATTTATCTTTAAAGGACCCGGTGCACACGGAAGGCAGAATAAAGAAATCTTCTATTTATCAATGAACAGGTTTCTGACTGCAGACATAGAAAAACACATACCAGCTGCAAAAGAAGCAAAGAATAATGAATTGGTAAAGGTCTGAATCTAGTTCAAAACTTCATTTTCCATATATCATTTGTTGGAGGTCATGTTAACTTTAGTACTTTACAAACTAAAGTCATATAATAGCTTTTACTATTTTATCTCTGATTAAGAAAACCACCTTAATGAATCAAGAAGACTAATAGCATAACCAGTTCAGCCTCGTGCTTACCCACATCTGAATGGGCTGGTGAAAATGAATTTCAGCAAGGTATTCCATATCCGGATCCACTCTGATCCACAACAATGGGGAGTCCATACTACAAATGAATGCAAGTTGTTGTCACGACTCTTAAAGATATAAGGTGTATATATCAAAAAATGTATATAAAGTCACCGTACAAACCTTGAGCGTGCATCTAAATTTGGAAGATCTGCATTATCATCAGAACCATCAGGTTTGGAGCCCTTTTTAGGCTTCTGGATGCGTTTCAAAGTTAACTTGGAATGGCACTGTATCTCAAGTAGTTGCCAGGCATCCCCAGCCAAGGGCAGACTTGGATGGTCATACGTTCCATCAAGCTCATGAACTCGGATGCTCATCATTCCAGGCCAACCAGTATCACCTTCTCGAACTGCAGTATCAATGTTTCCGTTGGCAGCATCACCAGGTTTTGCAGTGCAGCCTCTCATCACAGCAAATTCAATCATATTTTTCCTCTTGATGTATGAAAGCCCCATCCTTGAACAATAACATCAAGAAGAAATGATAAGACTTAAAACTTCAGATAAAACTGGACAAGCCATACAGAAAAGTGCACACACATTGCTGAGACTGTGAGACTCAGAAAGCCTACCTCAAAATCGGGCATCCACAAGATTCAACCCAAGAAGGAAAGAATTCTTTAAGGAATGGGCGTTCCAGATTCCCAACCTTATATGCAAGGTTACTGAACTGCATGTGTAAAGTGATGTAAGAAATAAATTACTCTACAAAATTTTCATTCACACAAACGAAAAAAGTTAAAACATGACCTTTTATTTTCCTTTTTCAGGCATAAGGAATAGACAGGCGGGTGAAGTTGGTATGCACAGGGGTCGGAAGACAGTTATATTAAAAGAATCACTAGCAGTAAAAGTATTTGTCAGTACAAATTTATCATTGGAGGTCCATTTTCCCAATGATATTCTTTTGTTTATTCAAAATTTTCATCGTTATACAGTAAAACTTGTGCCAAAGTGCAGTATAGAGCTTTTACACTTAAATTCACAGAATAATGGAGCAATGAATGATGAACCTTCGAACAAGTGCTGACTACTTTCTGCAAATAACTACTAAATCAATAATCACTTAAAAGAAACCCATTTTTAAGAAGGCCAAAATAATGTCCACCTAAACTAAAACCAAACAGATCGCATGCTGGATGAGTAACTTGTAAATGACCAATATAAGCATCACCGAGTCTTTTCACACAAGGAATTCGAGCACAAGTGGGTTGAGAAGCTGCTTTCTCAACAAAGAATGAAACAATTTCTTTAAAATGGTGGTCAAACACATGTTAACAATTTACAAGTTGGTGAAAAATCATGGGGCCAACAGAACTATGGCGAGACTTCTAGAAGGGCAGTCGGTGAGTTACAAAATGTCCACCACACTCAAACAGACTGGTAATAGGCAAAGATCACAAGGAAGACAACGAGTGAGGATTCATCATTTAACTAGGGATCAATTCCTCCAAATTCCCAAAAGTTCCAAACTTAAGTACTCCTGTAGGAGATATCAAGAATTGTGAAGGGGAATTAAATTCATTATCAAGGCCCAGTGTAACCAAATATCCAAGCATCAGTTGCACTACCGGAGAACCATGCGCAAAGAACAAAAAGTAACAGTTATATCTTTAGCTATCAGCTTTTAATTTACTCTTGTACAGTACAAAGGTATCTGTGAAGATCATTATGATTCAAATTATGCAAATGCTGTAAAAATTTCTAAAAGGGAAACAAATAACCAAGAAATGTGGCATTTTTAATGCCTCTCATGTCAATTTCACGCTATTCGGAAAGTTGAAGATTTCATTAAGATTCAAAATAGTATTACATTATTGCTAGGATAAACTGGTTGACAGCTAAGTACCACTTAACATTAAAAACAGAAATAATATCTAAATAAATAGAACTGGTCTAAGTAAATACTAGCCAATATCTGAATCATGATAAATCAAAACAATGAAACTTAAAAGGTCTCCACGTAGAAAAGGAAAAAAGAGAACCAAGAAAGAAAGAAACTATTAAAACAAAGAAGGAATGTAATATAGCATCAACCAATGACCGATTTTGTCCACTGCTCTGCTAATAAATATTACAAGCTGAACATCATACAGATGTATGTAATATGGACCGTGTACAATGTAGCTGATTGTACTTACTTCTTTTGTACTAAGAGTTCTGGACCGAGCCGCATCTAAACCCCTGTACACTATACTCTGCAGAATCTGAAACTCCAATTTAGAAAAAAGAAATGTTATAAGAGAATAAAACAAAGACAATATACTGGTAAAATAAGTTTGGAGCCTCTCTTAAGCAATAATGAGAAAATACAGACCTTCAACTAAACAGAAATATAAAAAACCAGTGGTAGTAGATCACTCAAATAAAAAAAACAGAATTTTGAAGGAAATGGGTAGGACTACTATTTATTCAAAACAACAGAAATATGAGTATACTTTCTCCTCCATGAATTATTAACAAAAGGACTAATGTAGTACCAGAGACGGGATAGCATTAAGACAGTATCATAATATAACTCAGTCATAAAGATAACCCAGACAAGACATAACAAATGGATTTCTGTCATTACCATGATCTGCATTTTTTGCTACTAGAAGATGTTTTAATGTGTTTACAGGAGAAATATTTCACCAACAAGTTTAGTCTGCAATTCGAATATAATTCAAGTCAGAGAACCACCAACCAGTGTTGCAAAAAATACTTAATACGATCCAGGAACATTGCCCAAAGGATGTGAGAGTTTCAATTTGTAGCTAGGCCACTTAGTTTCTTTTTAATCTCTGTTGTCAGTAATATAACAATCCTTCATGTGAGAGTACTCACTGGACTTACAGCTGGCACTATCTACCATACACGGGGACCATGGGAATTAGACTAGCACTATCCTTCACGTAGACAAGACAACCTTGGTTCAATTCAGCATCTACGTATACCATCCTGCGTAACAAACGTCCACAGTAGCCACCATTTTCTGTGCAAAAACAAATACCCTTCTCCCTTTCTGCTAACTGTTATCAACGACCACTAACCTAAAAATGAGTGAATTGAGGGTTTGGACCAGAGGCCAGGCAGAAAGTCTCTATATAAAAATTCCAATCCAGGTTTTACATAGAATTAGTCACATCATGTCACAAAAAGCTTTACTGGCTCGATTCTCCTAGTGACAAAACAGTATTGCAAGCAAAGTGGACACTGTAGTGTCAAATTAATCAAGGCAGGAGCCAAATTTGCTTAAAAGCTTACACTAATAGGTCTTGATCCAAGTTTGAGTCCTAGTCACTTAATATTTCAGACTTTGAGAGGCTCGATTTATGTTGTCATTTGGTAAGAGCACTAGCCAATGCTATGGGAATTTTGCATTCAACACACACTACCATCAGCAACAACATTGTCATTGTTGTTGCCACAGTAATCCAGTGAAACCCTCTTTCATTGTTGTTGCTATCGCCAACACGGCCATTACAGCAACCCCTCACCACCACCAACACTACAGCTACCAACAATGCAACACTATAACCACCCATGTTGCCGCTGTCATGTCCATCATCAGGCTTAGTCATTGCTTGTTACTCCCATAATTGATGTTACCACTTATGACAACCATCATGCCAACAACAATGTTATAGTAAGCACTAGGCGCCGCAGGGTGCCAACCCAGCGCCTAGCTGCTAGGCACTAGGCAGCATAGGCGGATTTCTTTTTTTGCTTAACTAAAGGAGGAGGAGATTTTGCTGAAGGCTGGAGGAGGTGGAGAAGGTGTTTGGATTTGATGGAGGAGGCCATGAATGTAGGAGGATGTGACGGCAGCAACAGAGGAAATCTGACCACGACCTAAGCTTTGCAATCCGCATAACGGCCCATGCTCCCCTAGGCGCTCCCAAGACCTAGGCGGGTGGCCTAAGAACAACCAAGGCCTAGGCGTAAGCCTAATCGGCTTTGTAAAACTATGCAACAACCACTCACTTTTGCCAGGTTTAGGTAACCCTGATGCCTTCCAACACTTCAATCCTCAAACAAGACACACTAAGTGATTCAAAGTGAAAAAATTGTGTGTTGCAGAAAAAACGTAAATCTAACTGATGAAACCTGAAATAGTTTATAAGTATATAACTAAATAATATTAAATAAACATCCATTAGTACAATTAAAGTATTACGTAACCATTACACCACATGAGACTGAAAGGTTAACACACTTGACTTGGAACTAATGGTAACTACAAATTAACTTGCATCTTATTGAAATATGCTACTGCGAGTGGAAGAAAAATGAATATAATACAGGCAGACAATAAGTCCATCACAAAAAGACATGAGACAATACAGATTACAGACACAACTCAATTGGACAGATGATGCTGGACCAAGTAAAGACCAAATGTTTCAGTTCATGAACCACCTTACGGAAAGAATCTGGGCCCATCTGCTTCTCCAACATTTGAAGAACAGCTACCTGTTATGTGAATAAGCAGCAAAATATGATGTCAGCTGTTACTTGTTAAGCTACAGTAAGTATAGAGGTCTTACAGCTTTCCATGATCGAATCTTTCCATGCAAACCAATAGTCTGAGTTCCATAAAGATCACTAGAAGCAAAAGAGCTCAAAGCAGTTGCTCCATTAATGTCGACTTTACAGACAGTGCAATTAGACTGCATTCAAATATGCAGCAACATGATTACACAGGTAAAATCAACCAAGATAATAAAAACAACAGCAACTAGCTCTTATACCATACGTTTGGATGGACTACATGAATTTTTCTTTGTCATTCAGCTCATCAAGGACTAAATTTTATGTTAATTAACAAATACAATACCTGTTTAACTATGCCTCAAATCCAGTTTCATGTTTTCTACCCTACTCTTACCAGCTCCCACTCTGATCCTATCACTATGCCGCATTCCGATGTTAATTACCGTTTTTGACTCACAAGCATAACAGAACTGGTATTCATCAATTAATGACACTCTCCAAAGAGCCAACAGTCAACTCAAGGCTTTCCCTTAGAACTACTTTTGGAAAAGCTTGAACACACACATACACGCATGAACACACACAGAGACTATATATATATATATATATGTGTGTGTGTGTGTGTGTGTGTGTGCATACATAAACTCAAGTTGTAGGTCACAGACACAGTAAATGGGAAGACAGAAATATGATGACATACAAAATCTTAACTAACTAGATATGACATGGACGCAATTGAATACAAGATTACATATAACATATACAGATAAAAGCATAAGTCATGGTATCTTCAATATTCATTACTAAAGATTGCACGAATGCAATTTCATATTTTCTAAACCCCCAATCTTATAAACCATGAAAACTGCTTGCAAGCATCTTGCACATATTAGTGCAACACGTTTTGGACAGGTACAGAAGCCTCCAGCGTGCATTCATGCACACAGCTAATATCTTAGTAATTGTTTAAAAAAACGCTATGGAGATATAGATAGTGGACCTCCGGCCTAACATTTAGCTGCTTAAGTACCATCAACATAGTGATTTTATTTTCTTTTTTTTTCTTTTTTCTAGTCAAGTATCCTGCAATACAAAAATTAGGACATTGTGAATGCTACTTTAAAGCAAAGCAACATACTGTTAGTATTTAAGAATCAAAGAGGATCTTAACCTTGTACCGTCGAAAACGAGCTTCATTATTTCCAAAAAATTTCTTAATAAAAGAGTCAGTAAGAAATCCAGCTAGCCCATCTAGCAACCACTCTGTGAGGAATACAAGAATGTTAACTTGAATGCTAGATCATGTACTGAAAGAGTGATATGTAGAACATACCATCTGTTCTCTCCTCCACAGTTATGTACACTCCAAACCATTGCCTTGCAAGGGCATAAGCAAGCTTGACTCGTGTTTCAATTGTCTGACACATAGATCAAAGTTAAAAGGTAAATGTCACACCATAACACGAGCAAATGGGCACAAAACAATGTGCAAGGAAGAGCAGGATCATTGGTAATTATTTATAACATTGGCACATAAAGACAAAATATCCTACACCATGCTAGGATCAACTTTACCGAATCCACTACAAAAATAAATAGTGAATATTGCCACCCATTGGCATAGCAAGATTAAATTTCATGTTCGATAAGGGATAAATGCTTCTAATTTGGGGAGGATACCTCTAATGCCCCAGACTCCAGTGTAACAGGGAATAAGGAGTATCCTTAACCAAATCAAGGATAGTCCCCATTTAACTCAAAGCTTACGACCCCAGAAAAGTTGGTGTCCTAACATTCCTTAGGTATCCAAGATGGAATGATGAAACCTTTTAGGATTAATTGATGATATGTTATATGTATAATTTAGTAATTTGTCGTAAAAAACAACATTTTATCAGATTATTCTTTTTCAAAATGGGGCAGATATCCATTTCTGTATATAATTGTACTACAGTATTTTCCATTTTTAGCAATTTTAAGAATTTTCATGATCACGAAACTGACAGACCTGAGTTTGTATTCAAATTTGAAAATACACAGATTAAGTGTCGCAACTGGGCCGGGTTGACCTGCAACCTACCCAGATTAGGCCAGGTTTGAATCAACCTGTTAGGAACCAGGGTCGGGTCTATCCTAGCCCAGCCCTCATTTGGATTCACAAGTGAAACTCGGACCAAACCCGGCCCAGTTTGGACAGAACTCAGGCCTGAATCTGACATGGAACCCATCTAGATTTGCAGCCAACAATATTATTTAGGAAACCCATTATCCAAACTCAATCCTAACACACCTTCCTAAAATGAAAACACTAAACAAAATACTAATACAGGCAGATCTTTCTGCTTGTTTGACTCTAGTTGCTGACAGCCACATGCTCTGTTGGCTGCTAGAGTCAAACGAGCGGAATAATCCGCTTGTTTGTTCCTGTCTGCCAACATGTGGCCATTTAAGCAGCACAATCCAACAGGTGAAAAAACACCACTAGAGAGACGGTAGAACTCTAGCCTGTTGCCATGTGGCAACATGTTGCTCCACTCCAACCGCTGAAAATTCGCCAGTTGGAAGAATCGTTTGGGGGTTTTTTCCTCAAAAAGTTAATTTTGCTTTTTTTTGCAAAAGAAGTCTGCCGAAAAGCTATAAGTACCCCGACTCTTCTTCATTTCATCCCCCACACCAAATGTTCTCCTGTACTACAAGCTCATAAACAATTCTAATCTAGTCTTTAGTTTTCTTCAACAATTCTAAGGTCTCTCTAGTTTCTAATTTCCACAACAAGCAAATGCAAGATCAAGATTCAACTATTCAACGAAGACAAAGTTTCTTCTACAATTCCAAACTCTCTCAACTCTCCAATTTTTGAAGTATTTTATGTAACGCAAATTTTATGTTTAATTATAATGAATGATGGTTTTTCATCCGTATCTCGTAGTCACATTGCTAGAACTGTATAACGCTAATCTAAATACATATCTGAAGAACACAACACCATCACAAGTAGAATCCACTTTCACCACCAACAAAAAGTAACCAAGTGGCTAAATCTATAGCTCCTGCTAACAAATCACCAAGCGTAAGAGATTATCTAAGGTATGAGCATTGTTTATATTAGACAAAGCGGATCAAAATGAGGGAAAGTAATATAAATATAAATAAATAAATAAATATAATATACTAACTATATTAATATAATATATAAATATATATATGAATATATTATTATATATATATATATAGTCAACTTTTTGAAAAACATTGCGCGAGTATGGTATGCCTATCTAAACATCAAGATATAACAAAAAAATAGAGAGAGAATAACTCAAGCAAGCTTCATATATCTAGGAGGAAACTTTTGTCTACATTTAGCATACTACTTCATACCTATACAATTAAACAAGAATTAAAATTCTACATCAATATAATAATATATACTATACTACAGTAGTATAGAGCGAGAAGAGAGAAGAGAGAGGAGGTGAACTTATATCACCTTCAAGTGGACAAGATGCTTTGTCCCATCCAAGATTTTATATCACACTCGTATATATCTTATTATAACGCTATATATATACTACTATCTACTAATAATAACAGTCTCCTTCATATCTTGCAATGGTCCTAGGTATCATAAATGGAAGAAGTTTGGTGGATGTCACTAAGTTGACTAAGATTCTCTCTCTTCTCTCTTCTATATACTACTAATAGTATATATAAGTATACTATATACTATAACGATATATTATATTAGTACTACAAATTAATAATTATAATTAGACCTGATTAATAGGGCATCATGTCATAGAGGGAGATTCAATTGTCGTCTTATGTGCTACATCAATAAATAAACACAAAAGGAAATTCCACAACTCTAAAACACTCTCTTCTCCCTAGTTTTTACTGAGGATGTGTGGTGCTTGTGCCCAACATAGGCCGTCAAGGAGTAAATCCCCTCCTATGAAAAGAGATTACCCAATTTAATCTCTCTCCTCTCTCTATATATATTATAACTATTATATATATATAATATACTAGATACTATATATATATATTAAAAAGAAGCTTTTATCCTTATTTACATGGCATACCATGGAACACAATAAATGCGGAGTAATTTGCTTCATATTTTTATATTGGAAGTAGATCTCTGCCAATACTAAGTTCCTAAATATGTCATGCAAATCAGAACAAAAACTTTTTTAAATAAATCTAATTAACCTAAGGCCTCTCAACCTTGGAAAATGAAGTTTATTTGTGATAATATATCTAAGTAATCCTTGTTTAACTACTTCTATTTTATACCTAAATGTAGACAAATGTCTTTAGATTTGTCAAGAGTTGCATGAGTTTTTTTCTTTTTTCCTACTTGTCATGCAAATGTTGATGCCTATACAAAGTAACACTTCCGCAATGTTTTCCAAACTTATATTTTTATTTATATTTCCCACTTCTAGCTATTTGACCTGCTTCATCTAATGTCAACAATTTCCACATCTTAGATGATCTCCTATTGCTAGGTTGTTTGCACCAGAAGCCCTAGGACTAAAAGTTTGTTACTTCTAAGTTTGAGAGAGTGAAGTTTGCTCTACTTATGATGATGTCGTGTTCTTTATGATGATGTCGTGTCCTTTAGGTGTGCATTTAGATTAGCATGTAATACAGCTCTACTAATGCTATTATGATGCAGATGAAGAAACAATATCCATGATAATCAAAAATAAAATTTACCTTAAAATGTGATACGAGAGAAAATTTTTTAAAATTAGAGCGTTGATAGAGCTTGAAATTTAGAAAAAACTATCTCGGTTGAATAGTTATCTTGATATCGCTCGTGCTCGTTGTAGAAATTAGAAAGTAGAGAGATGAGAATCGTAGAACAATACTAGGGGCTAGAGATTAAAATAAACTGCAAAATAAAAAAAATCAGAAAAGAGAATATTTGGTGTGGGAAAGTGAAGAAGAATGACAGTTACTTGGAGCTCTCAAACTTGTTTTATTTTATAAAAAAAAATTACAAAATTAATTTTTTTCAAAAAAAAAACAGCTCAATAGTTATATCCTCTCTAACAAACAAAATTTGCCCGTTAGATTGGAGCAGCATGTGCTAACGTGGCAGTAGGGGAGAGATGCATTCCCGTCCATGTCTCTTTTACGGGCGATTTTTTTGCGCATTGGATGGTACTCATATGGCCACATAGTAGCAGGCAAGAGCAAGAGGAATCTGACAGATTCTTTTGCATATCTGACTCTAGTGGCTGATTGGGCAAGTGGTCATGTTGGCCACTAGAGTCAAATGAGAAGAAAATCCACCCATTTTAATATTATGCTCATTTTTTTTATATTGGGACGACACGTTGTATTCAGTATGAATTGTGAATTTGCGAAGTAATAATGTTAGCTGCAAATCTAAAGGGGTTCTAGGTCCGAACTAGGTCTGGATCCGGCTGGACTGGGTAAAGTTTGCATATCGAGTTCGGGTCCGGGTCTGATTTACACTTGCGAACCTATATAAGGCCTAGATGCATGGTTTTAAATGTCGGATATCGGGTTCATATCGGACGACTAAAGTCCATGTCAGATAGCGAAAATCGGGGATATATCGGGGGACATGGATTAAATATCGGATTGCCATATCAGATGGTGCACATATGTATAATATCATGTATAAAATGTAATCTAAGCATTCCTAAAATTTAATATAAGCATACTTTATAAATTCTAGAGGCGGCGCCGACGATAGGTGGATTCCGACGTTGCATGGAGACAGTGTCGGTGACGAGATGTCACAGGGAGGCAGTGCCGAGGCTCTTCTTCTTCTTCGTCTGCTCGGGATCTTTCGGATGAGTCACCAACCACCATCTTCCATTTATCCCGACGATGGGATACCCTACCGCCCTCGGATTCGGTTGCGATTCGGATTTCGGAGTGCAACAGGAGATGGACGACAGGGGGCCGAGATGAAGGTGGGGGAAGAGTGTCGTCGTTCACGAAAGGAGTGATGGGTTACCAAGTCTGCTGCAGCCTTAATTTTTCTCTTTTCTTTCTATAGGGTTCATAAGAAACTCTTAAACATAAGAACGGGTCAAACGGGTTTGGGTTTTTATCACTAAACCCAAACCCGACAACAAAAAACAGATAAAAAAAGGGCCATATCGGCCAATTTTTCAAAGCTGAAAAATCGGCCGATATGCCCAATATGGCCCCGATATTTCCGATTTAGCCCCGAAAACCGACATATGAGTTGAAAACGCCCATGTCGTGTCGCTCAAGCCCTCAAACCGACATGTCGGCCGACATTTAAAACCTTGCCTAGATGAGGTCCAGACAGGTCAAACCCCCAAATTGAATCGGTTCTGGTAGAATTGTGGGTCAACCCGGCCCAATCGTTACCCACCAAGAGGATAATATGCAGTGATATCTCAGAAAACGAATAGTGATATCTCAGAAAACGAATACAATCCCAGTTTTGAAAAGGATCTAAAATATATAGCTAACAACTGATGTTTTTTCCCGAAAGAAGGCAATACGCAACATTTTTTGCGTATTTTTCAAGAAGATTCTCTTCACTTGTATCCAAATATTCTTGTGTGGCTTTATAATGGAACAAACATTTTCACAATTTAAATCATAAAAGACAGGTACTGCATCATGCCTATAGCAACAGACAGACAAACTGAAGCCTCTCATTCAGTGATATCACCACAGTACAATACTAAACATGTTGATGTTACCCAAATTAAATATTGAAATTGTGAACTAATAATCTACGGTAGCAGACACAAAACATCAGAAGATGAGATGCTGACTGGAGATAGAGTAATTTTCAAATATGTGACAAATACTAAGAAGAATGATCAATATGAGAAAGACTTAGCCTTATAATATACATAATTATGGTCTGGGTTATGCAAAATAAGTAATAGGGAAATATTGAATAACTATTCTGTTCACAAAGTTTTAACCTTTAGGATAAAAACAAACAAATAATAGAAATTTAATGAATGGATTAACCAAGAAGAAGAAGGAAGAAAAGGGAAGAGTTGAACTGGACATCAACATTTTATCAGATTGAATAATTCAGGTAATGCAGAGTAATTACTGGACGCGAAATACGCAAATATGCATAGTTTTCTCTAAGGTACATATACCATTTGTGAACTAAATTATTTGAATGTAAAATTGTCATATGGATCTTATTTTTATGTTACGATACTCTTATTTTTTAGTTCAAAGTTAGCTAATGAATTTATGATCATGGGTGGGTTTGAGCAAATTTTGGATCGTTCAAACATTTAAATTGGTTCCAGAACCTTCACATTAAATAAACACCAAAAATCACATATAAAATAAGAAAGGGAAGAGCAAACCTTATCTATGACTTTCTCATCAAATAAGAGTTGAGATGTAAATATACACATGGAGGCTCCCAGGCTCGTAGAGGATAAGGATATTTCAGGTGGTATGAAGATTTGTTTGTATGAACCAAAGGGAAAGGACATGGAAAGGTAATCTTCGTAATGACTGTCAAACAAACAGATGAAAATAAGCCAAAACTAATACAGAAAAGCTATATATGAAAGGTTGGGAACCACAGTGGGTAAATAGTACTCCTTAATCCCCAAAAAATACACAGCCACCATACCTAAAGGCTTGATGAAAGAAGCTAACTGTGTTCTGAAGCTCTCGCAAATTGGGAGGCAAACACATGTATGATATAGTGCCAGTATGACTGTCCGGCAGAATCTCAAATGAACCAACAGCCAAAGAAATCCAGCCTGCACTGACAGGAATATTTAATTTATATACATATGTTTTGCGTGGAGGATCATCTTTGCTCAAAACCTGCACAACAGTAGACAGAAAGCACAAGAATGACTAATAGTATCCCAGTATAAGACAGAACTCAAAGATTGAAGCAGTAGGAGTAAGTAGTCACTCAAGATCAAATTGTCATAAGCAGCATCACAGGAGGTCAACTTTTTCCCCTTTTAGTAATCAAAGGTCAACTCATCTTCCAACTAACACGAAGGCAAGAGACATTGATCTAAATTACTAACCATGGGTTATTTTTATTATACAATTTCAGTCATCAGATCCCCCAAACATTTGGGATAAAGGCTTGGTGGTGGTGGTTGTTATTGTTGTTGTAGTCATCAGAACCAGCTACAGGCATAACATTACTCGTGTTTATAGTTGCCACAAATGCAATAAGTCGTATATAGTCAAAATTCCTCTAAGTTTATCAACACTTTGCATCAGTTAACAGGCTGCTACCAACTTATGTTTCATTATATAATGAAAAGTAGCAAGATAAAAAAAAGGCAAAGAATGACATTATCATCATGCTGAGCAAAGCTTTTCCTGGCTCATGAAAGGTGCCACGAAGATCTTACTCTTGCTATCAATGTAGGCCGCACCTCTTAACTGGGGCAAATTCCTCATCAAGGAAAATATAGAAACCAAAGAACGTAGATTCTAAAAGTGACTGATGGGTTAAAAAACAACCTTATTGGTCATAGTCTAAGATTCTAAAACCAAAGAGTAACTCCAAAATATTGGAACTTTTAAGTACAGAACAATGAGACAGATTAAATTTTCTACAGAAGATAGCATTCAAGGCAGAGAACAAGCTAGAAAGTTAATCAGAACAATTTTCTAAAATAAACTTTTGAGAAATGAAAGTAAAAAATTTAGGGCTGAGAGAACAGACGGGTTTTTGCTCTATTGTGAGACTATATTAATACTGAAAACATGAATGGTAGAGATGAGCGTTTCTTTTCAAAGCCCGGAACATTCACTAGCAGCTAGTTTATAAAATAAAATCACAATAACATTTATCTTCACTAGCACTTGCATCCTGGTTTAATGAAAGATGTAAATCAAAATTTGGTTAAGGACAACGTCGAAAATGCCTTACTGGCATATTCACACATTCTGAAAGCTTGACTTGAATCCATACCTGATAAAGTAAGTCACCGTTGCTAACAGCCACATAACCAGAGTTGACTGTAAATTCCATATCAAAGCTGGACAACAACATTATACCAAATAAATCTAGGAAAATATAGCTAAAACTAAAGAGGAAAGAAACGACAGAAAACATATTAGGTGACCATAATGTAACTACAAGCACAAACTTACGTGCAACATTGCGAAATACTATCTATGCATGGGAACCAGCAGCGAGCACGCCGTATCTGGTTATTAGTATGCATAACACTTTTTCCAAAATGGATACCTGCCTCTGCCCTCTCTACCCAATAGTTTATGCGAACATGTTTCACATCCTGTAGCATGTGCAAGCTAGCATGAGAAATCACGACTTTGGAACCTTATCAGAGACTAAATTACAGAAAATAAGGACAACAACATAATGTGTTAATAAAGAAGAAGCAATTTGCCACGTGAGATGTGGCAGCATCAGTGTGGAAAAATGCCAAAAAAAAAAAAAATTGTGTAAGCATTTGATTTAAAATACACCACATAGCTAACCACTTTTACAATAAAACATAATAACTTACATTGTATATCAAACTACAGAAATACAAATTGGACCTAAAATTAATTTTGCTGAATATATTGGGTTAAAAAGTGCTTATAAAACTTTTGGTTTATAGGCTAAAATCCATCTATAGTTTGTGATGCCGTAACGATGGTGTGAAAAAAAATCCAAAAGAATGGTTTAAGCATTTGGTTTAAGAATATATTTTATATCTAACAACTTAGACAAAAAATATAGCAAGTTACAACAAAAAATAATAAATTACACTGTATACCAAAATGCTGAAATACAAAGCATATTTATACTAATTTGGGTTCACAGGAAATTCACGATGCTACAAACATTAGTGTGAAAAAACCCAAAAAAAATAATCATTTTATTTAAAAATGCAACATATACCTAACAACTTAGAATTAAAATATTAGCAAAATAAAATATAGTAACTTACATCATACACTAACTGCTAAAATACAAAGTTGGTTTAAAACTAATTCGGTAGAGTATTTTGGGTCTGAGAGTCATTTTGGAATGTTGGGGGGTATAAAAACAAATGGGGGTATACTTTTGAGTTTACAAAGAAAAATTCTTTCCGGAAGTGGATGGGATTAAAATTAAATGGGGTAAGTCATTGGATTTACATAAAAAAACCCTAATAGTGCAGCTCTTATGTCTTTAGTGCATAGGTATAAAGGTTATTTTTTGGACTTAGAGAATAATACCCTTTATATTATATTATTTTCTTAAGGTGATGAAGCACTTTGGCCACTAGTAACTTTGAAAGGCAATGGGCTTCAAATAAATTGGGTGAATTTTTTGGGTTAAATGCAAAGGCCCTTTATTCTATACACTTTAATTATTATAACTAAGTTTACGGGACTCAGACTGTAGCGTTACAGTGTCTAGCTACAGTTCAAGTCCCTTTAACTTTAGTGTATATATTTAAATAATAAAGCGACCTAGTAAACCACCTTATCCTCTGAAGGAGCACTATATCCATTAACAACCTCCTCTGCAGATGAATTCTGTACAATATTTTCCTTCTCCCCTTGGCTCTGGTTGCTTACTGTCTTCTTTGATTTGTTACATGAAATTAGCAAATTGGGGACCATTTCTCTGTTCAGCAATGAGAGGTATGTCGAACAAGCAGCATCAGCAGCTGTTTGACAGCATGAGACAGACGACCATCTTCTCTCATCCTCAACATGTTGATAATGTGGTATGTGTTCAAACTCAACTGGTTCCCCGTCCACAGTTACACTGCTAATGACCATATCATCAGCGTGCAGAGCAACATATCCAACCTCTGAAGCCAGGATTTTCAGTTCAGTATACCTTTAAGACAAAAAAAAAGAGAAAATATTAGCTTGCCATGTTAGTATAAACCAAATATTGTAGCTAGTTCTGCAAAGAAGAAAGAGGGAAACAGTTATTTGGCAGGTCAGTTATCTAAGAGCTTGTTATTCGTTCCAGACTGTTTGGTGCGACTAGGACAATTGTTGAAGTATCGGATATTCTTGGATTTGGTTAGAACTAGGATTTTCTAATTAGAGCCCTAGACTTCTCAGTAGGATATTTGAATTTTTGGTTGGATTTCAGGACTAAAGGGTGGCTTCTTAGACTAAAGCTTTTAGATTCACTGACTATTTGAATTATAGAGTTGTGGTGCCACTTTGTGTATTTAAATATGTAAGTATTAAATATTCAGAGAATTTTATATCAAACATCTGACATCAAATATTTGAATGATTTAATATTAAATATTTTAATTATTTAATATATTAAAAATTATATATATTCTTTTCATATTTATGTATTCAATATATTTCATATCTAACATTAAATAAAAACTAACTGTATGTAATATAATATTAAATAGTTAAATTATTTATAATATTAAATATTTAAATTATTTATATATTTAAATTATGAAATCCGAGTCATAGACTCATAGTAACAATACAACCAATAACACCTTAAATATTTAAATTATTTATATTAATGATAGTCTCATGGGTTGGACATTTAGAACAAAATCAATATGAACTATATATGTGAAGCAACTGCAAGTCTATAATCAATGACTCAGAAATGTGGACATCAAGCTGCGATCAGCTTAGCCAACTACCTAATAAAAAGATTAACCACTGCAAAAAACAAGTCAGGCAACAAAAGGACTCAATTTTCTAATTTTCTCTCACAATAGACCAACGGTGTCGGGCTCTCACTCACATACCAAAAAAGGTATATTCACACACACACGCACGCACACACACATGTATACATTGAAAAAATGTTTTTCATTCTCTTACAGCTAGTAATTTTTCTTGTGGTATGTACAATACTCCCTCAAACCCAAATTTGGCATATTCGACACACCTCGAGACAAAAGGCATGTCCATCCATATACGAAACATATAATGTCTCTAAGCATTTATTAAGCTAACATATAATCGTATATATAAGATGAAGAATGTAGTTCGCTTTTCAACAAAGGCATATTGTTTTATAGGTCATTTAACTACAATCAAGTTTTCAGAATAGATAGATTTCGCCTTTCAGAATGGATTCAGGGGCAAATACTTCTCATTTAAACTTGATGATAAGAGTACCCAGTAGAATATCCCTTGTGTTCAAGTTATTGTTTAAAGTACGTAGAAATGAAAATTCAAGTATTCTAATTTGTCTACCTATGCATCAACTGGGGACAAACTACAAAGTCTAACTAGTGAGTTGTTTAGTTTAACAATGTAAAATACTTAAAGGCCTGTAAAAATGAAGCAGTCAGGTTTTTAGGTACTTAGATTATCACCGAATGGTTGAATAAGAATTCCTATGCTCGAAATCATAAACTAACCAACATGCTACTTTGGCTACTCATTATGTGCTAATGCATTGGAAAAGATTCAAACTGATTTTTTTTCTTTTTACACTTTATGTGATGGAAATAAACTTTTACATAGAGCATATCTTCCACCTGACATAATTTAGTATTTTGTTTAAATAAGACAAATTTGGATCCAAATTCTTTTTAAAGCAGACAAATTTCTATATTTATGAGTCCACATGTATAATGGAAGAGGTATACCACACTGTTACAAATAACGGTAAATAGCCCCGCAATAGCGGCGTTAATAGCGTTAGCGGTCCCTTCCCGCGACGTTATCGTCCGCTACGCTACCGTGCAATAGTGGTGACATATTGCGGAATATGTCTGTTCGCAAAAACGGCCAATAATGTGTCATAACAGTAAATAGTGAGTGATTACATTCGAAATTTGCTTTTTGACTGCTATTTAAAAGCGGTTTGAGGTTTATTTTTTTAAAGTTAAACTCAACCCTTGACCATTGCATTCCACCGTCTCCTGTGATTTTCAGCATACTCCCGCCACCTCTCACCTTGACCATTGCATTCCACCGTCTCCTGTGATTTTCAGCATACTCCCGCCACCTCTCATAGCCTCTGACACCTACCTTGATACTTCCTCTCACCTCCTTCACCGTGAGCTCCTTTTAGGACAGTCCTGTCACCGCTAAGCTCTTCTTCTTGAAGAAGATGACTTTTTGACTTCTCTAGTCATCTTCGGTATTACGTGATGGTTACATGTATATTTCATATTTAGGATCTCTTTAAATCATCCAATATGTACTTTTAGATTTTTTAGATTTTTCTTTAATTTTTTTTAATATTTATACATATCTAAATTAGACCGCTATTTGACTTTACGCTTTTTACCGCTATTTTGTCGCAATAGCCTGAAATAGTCTTAGCGATGCTTCACCGCTACGCGACGCTATCCGCTATCGATAACATTGGTATACCAAAATGGTTGCATACAAGTCAAACTGACGGAAATCAATCTTAACATAGTAGATCTTCTATTTGACATGACTCAACATTTTACTTGAATAAGAAATTTTGGATCCACATTCTTTTAAAAGCAGTGAAATTTCTTTATTTTTGAGCCTACATGTATAATGCAAGAGGTATACTAATATGGTTGCAAATCTCTTGATTTAGATAATTGGCATGTCTGGCACCCCCATATACAAGTCAAAACAAGACACTCGTCATTATAAATCATAAAATTTCACCTGATAGACTTGGGATAGGGAATTGATTGTTTAGCTACAATGCCAATATAGCAATTAAATTCCTTCACATAACAAATGAAGTTGCAAAAGTTAGTTACGGATCACAAGAGAAACAATGAAATTTTCAAGGGTTAAACTTGCATTTAAATCCATCTATATCAAAGGCAAATTCTCTTTTGTCAAATGGATTTATTTTGGTCGGAGAGCAAAAAAGAATGCATTAATACTCATTACCAAAATTCATTTTCGAAAAATATTGCTTTTTCATTCAAGAAGTAAAGTTTTGTAGTAATCATGTATATCTGAATCTTCGACTATATCTAACTACGGTTTAGCTGATGCTTGAGAACATTATATAGTATATCTTCTGTATATGAAGAAATCAAAGTTATATGTAGCATCGGCACGAAAGAAGCAAAGCCTGAGCATTTTACAACCTCTTAGTTTGAGAAGGAATAACGGTCTCATCAATTACCATGTACTATTTTTTAGAGGAAGGGTCAAAACTTATTGTGACTATCTCGCAAACATATCATCATGAACTGAAGAGTTCCAATTTGAATGGTATATTCATTTAGAAAAAGATACAGTAATAACTTCTCTTAGAGCCTATTTGGTTCATTTTCGAAAAAAATAGGAATAGGAAGAGGATGTTAAAATACCACCCAAATGGTTTCCATGTTTTTATGGAAAGCCTTTTTTTTTGTTTCAGTTTGAAAAGGACTGAAAATAGTCTTTGGTTTCTTTTATCTAGTTTGGCTGGAAACAAAATTATAGAAAATGAAACCAACTTTATAGAAACAAAATGGGGGAGAAAAGCTAGTGTGCTAATAATTTAATATACTTTGTCAGATTTAATGTCCATTTCGTTCATAATAGCATAATGTAGGTTTCTTAAAAAAAACCCTTTTCACCATGTTTGTAGAAACTACTTTCTATAAAACCCAAATGAACCAAACTAGATTTTAAAAAGCGAAACATTTTTTCCGATTTTGACGTTGTTAGAAGGGAATTCACGCGGTTTCTACAAATTTGAGTGAACCAAACAACCCGTTAATGGATGCCTTGCATGACAGGTCCAATTGACAAAAAAAGATGATAAGGTGGGAGGTTTGACATTTTTATCCTATAGGGGGAGACGACAGAAGCAAAGCCTCCAATGAAACATGAGATTTAGAAGAGAAGAAAATAGATCCATATGTGCCAGTCCACATTATCTATGGTGATTTTTTTTCTTTTAAAGTTCATGATTGTTGATAAGCATATACCAATATTTACTTATAGAGTATGTATTTGCATGTTAATCTCTTATATTCTACATTATTACACACAATATATTATATTTTGATCCTCTTATGTCTTTAACCTAAATCATTTTAAATAAAAAAACCATTACATAATTCATTATGTTGCATTATGTAACCTAACAGACCTTAAATGTTATGTAACCTTATGAAATAACTCAAACACATCATAACTCTACGCTATTTTAATATAATATGCATTATTTTAATATAACTTACATTATTTCAATACAGCATGCCTATTTTTTAATAAAACTTACATTATTTCAATATAAGTGATAGAGCCTTGAGAGTATATCCTTTCTTAAGCCTTCATGTCTTATTTTAGTGACACATTATGTGATTTTGAAATTATGAAGACTGACAAAACGAATGTCATTATGAAGAAGCTACAAATTTAGGATTAGTGATGTTATGTTTGACAAATTTGATGATTCTAACTACTAAAGTCATCATGAATAGTTTGTATTATAAATATGTTAAGTAATTTATAAAAAATAACCCACATTATGTGTTACATTCTTTTACCTTTATTTCTTTAACCCTTAACAGGAGGTAGAGCATTACATTACGCGCTATCGTTACTTTCAACACTGGTCTAGATTATATATTTTTTACAACACTCTCAAATCAAATTCATTTTCAAAATATTCAAATTACAGATTTATACATCGTTAGTATAAAGGAGCTTCAAATATGAATTCAACAATTAAAAAATAAAATTATTTATCACATGAGAAGTATATTTAATCAAATAATTCCATATTCATAAAATATAGTTCAACTAAATAAATTCTAATAGTTATTGAATTTTTTTAGGACATTTGCATTTATATTTGGATTCAGATTCAAAAAATTTAGACCAATACAAATACAAACATCTTGATATTTAATTTGTTCATTCTTTTCCCTAGCAGGACTCCCAAAACTACTACATGCTTCAGTGCTAGGTTTATAATCGCATACATCACCAAGAACGCTAATGAACAAAAGCTATGTATTTTGCAAAGGACCTAGCAGAATCACACCTAAAAAGTATTTTGTAATGGTTATGTCATTTCGACAAACAGGTAGCATGCACTTAAATTTGGGTAATTTTTCATAGTTTTATAACAGATCAAATATCTCAAAATTGACGATAAACTTCACCTCTAAAATGGATTCATAGGCTTGAGATCAACGGTGGGGCTTTGAATAGATCTACACATGTAACAGACTTTGAGTTTTGAAAAGAGTAGAAGATCGTTGACGACAAGAGGAAGCGAGGAGAGAGTAAAGATTTGTTGCTCTTCTCCGCAATTTAAGTCTTGCTCAAAGAAATCTTCGACCTCTATTCATGTTTATTTTGTTTCATACATTTTCGTGAATATCATTTTATCGATAATCTTCCCTAAAATCCTAGACAAAGGTTTCCCTCGTATCCTAAGAAAAAAATCACAAACCAAATCAAACCTTGACCCAAATTCATATCTTGAAACAAACCCGTCTTTTTTTAACAACATTATAGAAAGCGCTAGGCGGCCTAAGTGTCAAACCCGGCACCTAGGCAGTGCCTAGGCGTTTTCCTATTGTTTATTTTTTAAGTACAATCAATTTTATTGGTCTAGACAGTGCTAGGTGTCAAACTGGCACCTAGTACCTAAGCACTAGGCCTAGGAGGATTTCTTTTTTTAAGCGGTGGCGGAGGAAGTTATGCTAAAGATCAGAGTTGGAGCTGTTCGTAGTCGTTGGGGGGGAGTTCATAGGAGGTTAGAGGACGTGCAGGCAGCAACAAAGAAAATCATGACTAAGACCTAACGGCTCAGTCCGCGCAAGCAGTCTCCGCTCCCATAGACGCCTCAAGAATCAAGACCTAGGCGGGCGAAGCTTAGGCAACCTAGGTATCGTTGCATGGGCCTAGACAAAAGCTTTTTAAACCAGTCAAAAAAATTTTGAAAAGCAGTGACACAAAAAAGGCTTTGATTTGGTCAAGCGTTTGACTTGGTCTAGGATTTTTTTTTTCTTAGGATACGAGGGAAACCTTTGTCTAGGATTTTGGGAAAGATTAGAGAACATATCGTCAAAAAATATTCGTGAAAAGATACAAAACAAAATAAACATGAGCAAATGTCAGATTTCTTAGAGCAAGAAAAAGCCAGCAACTTTAATTATGGAGAAGAGCAGAAATATTTACTCCTGTCTCCTCACTTCCTCTCATCCTCAACAATCTTCTACTCTCTTCAAAACTCAAAGCCCTTTGCTTCTCCAAATCTATCGAAAGCCCTCCCATCAATCTCAAGCCCATGGATTGCTTTTGGAGGTGAAATCTATTGTTAATTTTGAGTTAGTTGATTTGTTATAAAACTTTGAAAAATTGCCCAAATTTAAAGTGCATCCTATCTAGGAACTAAACAGATCTTAAACAAACCACCATGTGGGATTAAATGGACCAAAATCCCTTATAAACCCACAATTAACTCCCCACTTAGTCAATGTGGAACTAAATGCTTTCACAGTTTCGGCACCCATGTTGGGTTGCAATGCAGTGGCTGAATGAATACTGGTCGAATGTTGCAAGCCCAATGTAAGCATGTATCCCCTTCAGCTTTGCACAATACGATTTCTATCCATAACATTTTAATTCCATGAATTGAAACAAATTAGAATTCTCAATTCCCTACGACGTCACGGAGATAGAATATTTTCCGGAACAAGCAAATCATAATGATTTTTGTCTCAATTCACAAGCATATCACAGTGTCGTGCAATGGATCCATCAAAAAAAATTTATCAACATATCTAATTTTTAATTATGCATTTTCATTAGTTTGGCGTTTATTCTTATCAACCAATGAAACACGTAGTGTGTGATATATAATGTCACCGTCCGTCCACCGCTCAGCTTGCAAATGGGAAATTGTGGTTGACTCTGTTACAAATTGCAAGAGACCTAGAAGACCTCACCACTAAAGCCTAGGTGCATATGTTAGAGGAAGTGAACTCCAGTCCCTTAAGAACCCACGATTCAACTCCCCATATAGTCTATGGCGAGTAAATGGACCCTAACAAAACCCTAAAACCCCAAAGAAAAAAAGAGTATGGAGCGAATCTTTCAACAGCTCGAATTTCAGTTCAATTCGAGCATTGAAGGGCTAAATGAAAAAATCTCAAGAAATCTCAACAGTAGAGGACCAAAAACTGCTCCAATAATCAAGATTCGCGCAACAGAGCTAGTAATTACCAAATAAAACAGTAATTTTTACCCGAAGATCCTTTTTCTGTCCATGTCGATGGAGAGGCAAAGCTTTTGGTGGAGGGCGACGCATCCCGAGCTCTCGTTCTTCTGCTCCTCGTTCTTCGATTTCCGAGGTTTCGCCATTAATTTTACAATGGAGGGAGAGCTATCTACCGAGAGCGAAGAAGAGAGTGCGAGATTTAGTATTTTCCCTCTCTCTGTCTTTTTATTTTTATTTTTATTTTTATTTTTTTACTCTAATTTTCTCTCAGTACGCGAGAGGAGGCCCGCTCTTATTTATAGATGCCCTAGCTTGTTGGGGTGTCAAAACGGGTCGGATTCGGGTTCCACCTGAATGTGGGCTCTTATGCGGGTTGGGCTCTTGTAGGCTGGAAGCCTAAGCCCAACACCTAGATCTGGTAATATAAAGGTTTTTTTTCCCCAATTTTAGTCCCCCGTTCCATTTTTTGAACTATTCCCCAAACTCTTCAAGACTCGTAATTAGTTCCCGAAATATTTAAGTTTCTTCAAATTGGTCTCCCAAATGCTCGTATTTGAAGTTAGTCCTCGGAATATGTTAAGTGTTTTGAAATTAGACACACAAAACTTTCAACTAATGTTAACTAGAAGGACTAAGTTAATATAAATCTTTCAAACTAATGCTAACTAGAAGGACTAATTTAATTCATATTTTTAAGCTCGATTCCTCTTCTTCCATCATTAAATACATTTATTTCATATTTCTTGACTTCCATCTCTTTTCTAATTCCCTTGTAACATATTTTTCCCGGCTTAGACCTGTTTGTTTGCATTGAAGTAGTCATGAAGTAGGTAAAATAAAGAAAGTAAATGTCACTTCCGTTACATCTAATAAAAAAATTGTTTCGCTGGAAATCTCATTTCTCCTACTTCCCTTATTATTGATGTGGATCCTAGGTGTGCTTCTACTACCAATTTTTTCCTTCTCAAAGCTCAGAATTGCATTTGAAGTAGGGGAAGTTCTCATGTAGGCACACATCAAGATTGGGACAGCGTTAAAATAGGAATTACTGGAAATTAATTAGAATCTCTAATCTCTTTCTTCTTATGTCCTCACCACCCTATTTCTGGAGGAAAAAAGCGATGTGTAGCGCCAAATTCTCATCTTCTCCTAGCAAAGACCTCTATTTTATTGAGGCAAAACCTCTACTTTCCTACGGCAAAGATTCCATCTTCTCGTGGAAAAACTTTGTCCACGGCGTCATCTTCTCCCCTTAGACCATTCCTCATTGCACTATTAAGGTATCAGAGAAACTATAAAAATTAATCTTTTGATTAGATTCATACTATTCTGATAACTAGTTGGTTTATTTTAATAAAGCAAGATCTTTTAGTTATCAGTTCATGTGAGATTTAGTTCTCAATTGAACTTTGTGTTTTTCTTTTGAAAAAAGAATTGGGTTGTCTTTTCATTAATCACTTGAGCAAGTTTTTTTTATAAATTGAGATTATTACAAAGGACAAATATTTAAACTAGGTCAAAATTGGCAAATAAATGCTAAGAACTATACGTGATTGAGAATCTTGTGCAATTTAGTAGAAAATTAAACAACATGGGATTCTCATTCCGGTGCAGTTTATAGAACTACACTAAACTCCACTAGATTTAGATTCCTGTGGAGTTAACAATTATAGAAATCTCCGTGAGATTCTGAATCCCATGAAATTTTTATACAAAGAAACTCCACGAGATTCTCAATTCCGTGGAGATGCAAGGATCATTCCAAAAAACATATTCTCTATGATATCACCTTTTGCAGTACCATGAGATTGGGGATCTTGTAGAGTTGATTTTATTCATGCACTGGACCTACCCAACTATACGTTTCACCTTAACCCTCCCCTCACCCCCACCCCTCTCTCTCCATCTTTGTGCCCCCCCCCCCCCCCCCCCCCGGCTTTGTGATCTTGACATTCTCTAGACCCTGCCTCCTCACTACACTAACTATCTCCAATCACCTTCGCCCTATAGCAGCTGAACTCCTTAGGACCAAAGTTCGTCAGAGTTCATCGGAGTTCACCGGATCTCAATTTTATGGTTTTGACTTATCTTTTTGTAAAACTTATAAAATAGTTTTGGATTTTTTTTCCTAATTTTTTTTACATATTCTCACTATTTCATCCTAATAGCTTGTTGTACTTTAGATTTTGGATTAATGTTTGACTTTTTTTGAAATTTTGTGAAGAAAAATTATGAAAATTTGTATGGAATTTGAAGGGAAATTAGAGAAAATAATGCAAATTATTGTTAATTGAATTGATGTTGTGAATTTGGATTAATATTTATCCCTAGAGCTTATACTAGTCTATATTATTGAATAACATGTTGAATTTGTAAACTTACATTAGGAGGAAACTGTAAAATTTGTGTTAAAGATTGAGGGAAAATTGTTAAAATTAGGAATTGAATTGTTAAAAGTTTTAAATATTATTTATAGTGTTCTTCGTGTAAACTATTAGTTGACATTGAATTTTTTACTTCTTAGAGGTAACGATGAACAATCAATGAATTTGTTTTTACTTCTTAGAGATAATCTTGAATGATCGATTCTTAATTTTGATGTGAAGATTAGCTATCTCAAGTATAACATGCCTGTATATAAAGGAGATGTGACGAAACTGTTGTTTATATCAAAATCATGTACTTTCGATGGATTGATTAATGACTTACACAAGCTTACATTAATCAATCAACATGGAGTATCACCTCAACATGATTTACAATTATCTCGTAACGAGGAATAGAACAAGTAGCGTTCAAATCTCAAATGATTATGATATGAGTCTCATTTTCATGTTAAATGACGAGAAACATTCGATGGAATTATTTATTAAAAAGTATCATAGGAATTTGGACAAAACGATGAATCAGGACGAAGTGTACACTCGCATATTGGAGGACCTTGAAGTTGACTTGATCTGTTTTTTATCTCCGCAATGGGATGTGGATTGGACACATTCACAATACTTAAGTGGGTCTTGTAGGCAAATAAAATTGCTTTTATCCCTAACAGAGAAATTTAGAAGTTCGCCTGCAAGAACATTACCAAAAATAGTAAAAAAAGAACAAAAACGTTGATATCTCTCAAACCGGAGCAATAGCTGCAAACCAAACTTTAGTGAGATTGATCAGCCTCGTCTTGTCGAGATAGTCGATTTTTTATATATAATTCTTCCAATTCTGACTTACGGTTTGAAAGTTATGACTCGTTCTTCGCAGCAACTTATGTTCCTCGATGCTTGAACTTCGCCTGCAAAACTAGGGTTTGCCTGAACCAAGCCATGTCTACTGGATCACCTAAACATTCAAGGCAAGTTTGCCTGATAGTGTGACTTTGTCTGAATCAAATAAGCAAAACCAAGTTCACCTGAATACTTGACTCTGCGGATAAGGCCAAGTTCGCCTAAACATTAAGCTTCACTTGAACGAAGTTAAGCTTGCCTGAACGCTTAACTTACGAAGCTCGCCTACATAAGCCAAGCCCGCCTGAACACTTGAAGCTTGCCTGAATTGATTGAAGCTCACATGATAGCGTCACCTACGAGGTTCGCCTGCATGCTCCAACCTCGCCTACAGGAGTGAAGCTCGCATGAAGCTCGCCAAGCTCGCTTGAATAGCCAAGCTCACTCACCTGAAGCTAGCCAAGCTCACCTAAATTGATTGAAGCTCATTTGATAACTTCACCTACGAGGTTTGTCTGCCTGCTCCAACCTCGCCTACAAGAGTGAAGCTCACCTGAATGGTCAAGCTCACCTGAACGTCTGGTTCGCCTAATTGTTTGACCAAGTCAGCCACTAAAGCATGAATTGTGGAAGTGGTTGTGCCCACTTTCCATGTTTTGAGGGGGTGGTTACTGGCCATTCTCCTCTATAAAAAGCCACTAATGGCTACAAGAAAGGGGAGGGGGTAGAAAAGAGAGGAAATGTACGGAGACAAGGAGACGATCCTAGCTCGGGTATGCAAACTCTGATAAAGCTTCTACCATGTGACGAAGCTTATTGGAAGTCTTGTTCAAATCCTCAGGAGAAGAGGACCGAACTTTGAGATCTCAGCATACTTGGCCTACAAGCAATCAAGCACTTGTTCGGCCTTCGAACTCATCCAACCAAGCTTCTACCATGCGCTAAAGTTTGTCCACAACCTCGTTCGAATCGTCAAAGGGAAGCAAACTTGACATGAGCATCGAGGGAAGCATCCTATCGTCCCAAAGAACTCACGTTAAACAAAGAGAGATCGAATCAATTCTCTCTGCTTTTGTGTAAAAGCGATTTCAATTTGTAATAAATAATTCAATTAATATAAATTTTGAGATCTTATTTTACGACAAACAGGCCTTCGCTTGTTGAGACTTCAAGTGCCTTCGATGATAACGCTCTCCATCAAGATATAAGGCCTTCCACTGGGTTGATGTCAGAAGAGGAGGATGCAAATGTCGACTCCGAGGGTGATGATGAAGAAAATGCCTTACAAACTAATAGCATTATATGTTTGATCGATCATAATGAAGGCGACCACCAATTGATTGAACGATATTATTTTAAAAATGAGTATGTCATATTAGAGGATCCATCATCCAATGAATTTCATGGAGATGGATGGATTGATGATTCAACAATGGAAAATATTTTATTGGTCTAAATTTAAATGATGTTACACAAGGCGACGACTTAACTTTCAGAAAGGATGATCTCTTTGAAAGTAAGGAGAAGTTGGTTCATGTCATTCGTTTATGGTCCATAAGAAAATATTAAGTTTAAGCAGATGAAAAGTAATGGAACAAGTTATAATGTAGTTTGTTTCTATAATAAAGCGGATGATGAAGATGATGTCGGTGCCCACCATGATGAGAATGTAAAGTGTCCTTGGAAGCTTCATTCACACTTAGGGGTAAGGGTAGGTGGGCAATTTAAGATGACACATTATAACAAAGATTACATGTGTAGCAATCCTTGATTAGAGATGAATCATAAACATACATCCACCTCTTTCATATATCGATTTATTATGCCTAAACTAAGGGAGGATCTTGATCTAAACCCAAAGGATATTCGTGTTTTAGTGCATAAAGCGACTAACTTGGATACGTCCTACATCAAGTTGGAGCGTGCTCTTTATATGTTAATATAAGCTACTCCTTGCACTTGTTTTAATTTTAGTTTCCTTTTATGCTATGTATTGTTTAGTTCTGATTGAGTACATATGATTAAGTC